TTGGTGTTGTGAGAGTATATGTCTTGAGTTGTGTATGTTGTCTCTTTCCTTGGGTGTATTGCCTAAAAAGGAAATTTTTTTTGTTGAGTTATTTTGTTATTTACTATTAACTAGATTTTTAAAAAATATATATATTGTTAATTATTTATAAATATATATATGGTTATATATATGTGTGTATACTATATATTAAAATAAAAAAAATTAAATTTAAAAATAATTATTTAAATTATTTTAAATATAAAAAAAGTTTTATATATTTTTAATTTTCAAAAAAAAATAAAAAGTTATTAAAAAAAACTTAAAATAGTTCAATAAAAATATTTTTATAATCTTAATAAATATACTTTTAAAATTCAATTGAATTTAAAAAATTAAAAGAAGATACTATTATTAATATCATTAAAACTTTAAAAAATTATTATAAAGAATTTTACTAAAAATATTTATATTATTTTATTATAAAGGTAATTTATTTAAAAAGAATATTATTTTGCAAGCAAATTAAATAAAAAGATTTAATTTATTATATTTATAAAACTATAAAACTTATAAGATATACTATATATAATTATAAATTATCAAGTAATATTTTTAAAAATTTATTTATAATAAAATATAAATCAATATACAATACAGTATACAGTATATATTATTATGAATTTTAATATTATAAGATGTACTGCATAATTAAAAATTTTAATTTTTTATATAGACGGCACAAGACTTTTGTAAGCTCCATATGCCTAATATACTGTAATATTCGAATTTTAAAGTTATTATTATGTAGTAACATTTTAAACAAAATAACATTGATATTAACAATAAATATATTATAATATATATTTGAAAAGCATGTTTGTATAAATAAGCTCGAAAATATTTAAAATTTTTGGATTTTTTGTTAATGCATTAAATATATCCTAACTACAGAATTACATGTCACCATTCGTCGTCCTCAAATCATCAATCTCAGTGATTTATGAATTACTGGCTTCCTTGGAATGTATTTTTTTAATATTAATGTAAGAACATGTATATACTTTTGAAGAGGGAAAAAATATGAACATTGCTAATGGTTTATCGAATCCGTTATTAATCTACGTCTTTTAACAAAATCTTCCACCTACAAATTCAGACCAACTTCTAACTTCTCCAGGATATTCTCCATTCGATAAACTACCCAATTCTTGACGCTTTCGCTTCACAGATTCCACAAATAATCTAGCGCATTTGCTGTCATTAATCAATGGTATACCAAAATCTACAGCTGATCTTCGGGCAATGTAATTTTCATCGGCTACAGTGCTGGCTCGAAGTGAAGCAAGATTAAAAACAAAATCAATCTTGTTATTTTGGAATAATTGTTGAAGGGCACGTTTATTTTGCTCGGGTAAAGTCAATGTGGTTGCCTTGATATTACGTTGAGCTAAATATTCTGTAACTTTCTCCGAACTGGTGTACAGTGGATGCCCCAAATCCTTTGATAAAGTATGTGCTACAGCATAGAAATCATCATCATTTGTATATTCGTCTTTTCCTATAAGGATGCCGCTTCCGATTTTTGGAACACGGAAGTTCTGTGTTGATTGAATCGCAGACCAGTATGCCTCATACTTATCTTTGCCGAAACAAGCCACCTCACCTGTTGACGCCATCTCGACGCCAAGGAATGGGTCTGCGCCTTGAAGGCGGGTCCATGAAAACTGTGGAACCTTCACGGCTTGGTAATCTTTCTTTTCAGCCATCACATCAACTGGAACAGGAACTTCATGATCGCATAATGCATGTGTAGCAACGTCAATGAAATTAGTGCCAAGCACTTTGGAGACGAATGGGAATGATCTTGATGCACGCAAATTACACTCGATAACCTTCAATTGTGGCTGTCCACCCGGAACATCTTTTTTGATAACCTGCATATTGAATGGACCAGTAATCTCAAATGCACTAGCAACCTTCTGAGCTATTTCTTTCAATCGCGCCATTGTTTCATCGTCAATATCACGTGGGGGCAACACCAAAGTTGCATCACCAGAATGAACACCGGCGTTTTCAACATGCTCCGAAACGGCGTGAATTAGAAGCTTACCCTTGTGCGCAACAGCATCAACATCAATTTCAGCAGCCGGAGATATGAATTTGGTGATCACCACAGGGTGTAATGGTGAAACTGATGTAGCCTCCAAAAGATTCTTATGTAATGCTTCATGAGTATGGCATACATTCATGGCTGCCCCTGAGAGAACATATGAAGGACGGACAAGGACTGGGTATCTATCGTATAAAATAGAGATTTTTGAGAAATATGAAATACTTTGCATTGAATGGTTATCGAAAAAAAGAGTAAATAATCACCCCACGGAGTCAGCGAAAGCCTCAGCCTCTTCGGCGCTCGACAATTCCTTCCATTCGGGTTGATCTACGCCAATTTGATCTAAAACTTGAGAGAACTTGAATCTATCTTCGGCTTTATCAATCATCACTGGACTAGTTCCCAAGATGTTTACTTTGCTATTATGCAACCGGAGTGCGATATTTTGTGGCAATTGTCCACCCACTGAAACGACAACACCTTTAGCTCGTTCCGCCTCATAGATATCCATGACTCTTTCATATGAAAGTTCTTCAAAATAAAGTCTATCACATTCGTCGAAATCTGTTGAAACTGTTTCCGGGTTGTAGTTCACCATGACAGTCTTCATGCCCATCTTTCTGAGAGCGCGAATAGTAGACACACCACACCAATCAAATTCAACTGATGATCCGATACGGTATACACCTGAACCTAAGACCATAGTTCCATGTTCATTAAAATCGATGTCGTTGGTCGAAGCATTATAGGTGGTATACAAATAATTTGTCTGAGCAGGGAATTCAGCAGCCAGAGTGTCAATCCTCTTAACATATGGTGTAATTCCGTAACCTTTCCTTGCTTGTCGCACTTGATCTTCCGAAGTATCTTGCAAGAACGAAGCAATTTGTGAATCAGAGAATCCTTTCTTCTTTGCGTCTTGAAGTAATTCTTTAGATACATTTTCAAGTTTCCCAGCGTGCTTAAGATCATGCTGGATGTTCACAATGTTACCAAGCTTGTAAAGGAACCATTTGTCAACCTTTGTGAGATCGTGAATTTGATCGATGTTGTAATTCTTTTCAAGCATGGCCTGTCCTATAGCGAACAAACGTCTATCCGTAGGAATGCTGAGAGAATTGTCAAGGTCAGGGAAGGACAAAGCTTGGAAACCTTTAAAGGAGGGATCAACTTGACGGATGGCCTACATATGACATAATGAATTAGCAAAGGATTTTTACACCATTGATAAAAGAGAATTGATTATACCTTTTGTAGACTTTCTTCGAAAGTTCTACCAATTGCCATTACTTCACCAACACTTTTCATTGCACTTCCAATGTCGCGATTAACATGTTGGAATTTGCTCAAGTCCCATCGCGGAATCTTTGTAACAATATAATCTAAAGAGGGCTCAAAGCACGCGGTGGTGGTTTTTGTGACAGAATTTCTAAGTTCAGGAAGTGTGTGTCCCAAAGCGATCTTGGCTGCAATAAAAGCAAGAGGATATCCGGTGGCTTTCGATGCTAGGGCACTATGAGGATATGACAATTCGTTGAGTCGCCTGAATTAAACCAAATCACACAAATGCAAATGTATAATGTAATGAATACTGACCTACTACGACTCAAACGTGCATTGACTTCTATGACTTTGTATTCGAGACTTTCTGGATTTAATGCATATTGAACGTTACATTCACCAACTACTCCCAAATGACGAATGATCTTTATCGCAGCAGTTCTTAGCATGTGGTATTCTTCATCACTCAGAGTTTGACTTGGGGCAACGACAATTGAATCACCCGTATGAATGCCAAGAGGATCGAAATTTTCCATGTTACAGACGGTAATACAATTATTTGCGGCATCACGAACAACCTCGTATTCAACCTCTTTCCAACCCTTCATTGACTTCTCTACAAGAATTTGGGGTGCCAAAGATAATGATTTAGCTGCCAAACTATGAAGTTCTTCTGGATTTGATGCGAACCCAGATCCAAGACCACCGAGAGAATAAGCTGAACGAACGATGATTGGATATCCGATCTGTTCAGCGGCAGCAAGTGCATCATCAATTGTGGACACTGCAGTAGATTCGGCAACAGGAATGCCGATTTCTGTATAATTGTGAATTTTATGTCATTGAAAGATCACGTGTATAAACAGAAAAATCAACACAATTCTTTAAACATATACCTTCTAATGATTTGGCAAATAAATCTCTATCCTCACTTAATTCCAAAGTACGAATTGGTGTACCCAACACTTGAATTCCTAGGCGAGACAAAACACCCATCTGATCCAACTTAATACCAACATTTAAAGCGGTCTGACCACCGAAAGTGAGAAGAATTCCGTCGGGTCGTTCTCGTTCAAGTATGTGTGTAAGATATTCAACTGTGACAGGAAGGAAGTAAACAGTATCCGCTAATGCATGAGATGTTTGAATAGTGGCGATGTTGGGATTTACCAAGACCGTACGAACACCCGACTCACGCAAGGCTTTGATGGCTTGCGAACCTATAATCGTTACGTACATTATGCGCATAAGTTATGAACATAATCTTATAATTAAGGAAATCGACGGAATACTAACCCGAATAATCAAATTCTCCTGCCTGGCCGATGGATAAACCGCCAGATCCTACAACAAGAACTTTTTTTACATCAACCTTGGGAACATTATCCAACGTCACTTCGCTGACTTGTTTGATAGGCCTTGAATGATCATTAATAGTTGTACTGTAGTAGTGATAAGAGACACGAGCTGTCGTGGAGCGGAAAGGTGTAACATGTATATTTGAAAATGGTCTGAGATTGCGGGATTTTTGAAGTAATGGTGTGGTGGAAGGATTAAATATCCGACTTGTATTATTGGTAGTTTTGTGATAGCCGCGAGACAGCAAAGTACTGACGCGACGTATCGGACTTGGTGATCGAATGAAACTTTGATACATGATGAATTGTTTTCAATAAAATAAACACAATTATTTCTTAAAACAATATGTACTTATTACTTTCCAAGGTTAATTATGCAAACATGAAATTACACTCATGAAATTTTTTTCTCGAATCGAAGAATTGACTTGATTCAAAGAAAAAATAGGTGTCATGATTCGTTAGAGCTGAAGACATCTTTATATATACGCGAATTCTGTGTGAAATTTAACGATAATCGTAATTGATTCTTACATAAAGCAATCTGGATCAGTTTTAAGGGAGATTACCGTTTTTTAGTAGAAGAGATATCAGATTATTTCAGATATAGATAATCTTAGCCGTAGATTATGCAAGCTATGTAAAGTTACGTTGTATTGTTCCTTAATTTTGTACTAGTGCATCAATAAAGATTTGCGCATGCTAACTAGATCTTGAGATTTTGAGATTTTCGATTCACTAATTTATTAGGCGGATCAATATTTCTTTAATGGATATTTCTCATGAGCCTGCCAATTTCATTGGTGGAGAGATGCTATACTTTGAAAATTAAAATTAATACGATTTTTCATCTACCATTAGATCAAAATGACTTGTCTTTGAAGTAATTACAAAATACACAGCTTTCATATATTAATTAGTTTAAATAATTCTTGTTAGATATACATAACTTAGAAGATCATTTAGATTACTGTATCTTTCAAAATTCTAATCTATAGATTAAAAATTATATTATTTTAAAATTTTTAAACCTACCTTAATAATAAATTTGTTATTTTGTTTTATATTATATTTATTTCTTGTATTTTAATATTATTTTAATTGGCATAGTTTTTTTTTCATTATTAATAAGTTTAATTTCTTTTTTTATTCTATAATTATTATATCATTGTTTTCAAAAGTTTGAATCTACTTATTATATTTTTATTATAAAGTTCAACTTTGACAATTTTTAAATCATTAACTATATATACAGTATATATATTTTTTTTTAACCTTCTGTCAGGCTAGTTATGTGTATTTTATTAAACAATTGTAAGCTATATATTATATATGTATCATTAAAGCTAAATATCTAACTAACTTACTTATCAAAGTTTTATATTTATCTAGGACTCTAAGTACAACTTTGAGAATAATTTATTGCTTTATTGATAGTTCAGGTGAAAACTCTTCCAACTTCTAACATCATTGCCTGCAGGTTACTGCTATGAATTACTATACGAGATTCTGATAAGAATCAAAACTCAATTACTTCATTACATATTTAATTTCATTTTTTATAATTTCTATAATATTTTTGTTTTTATACATACTCACTTATTCTTTTTACCTTATACTTTTGTAACTGGAATTATCTTATAGATCTTGCTTTCTTAATTTTTAGACCTTTTTATATTTTACTCTTCTATTAATTCTTTGTTCTTGTTTCCATTCAATGTTCTTTTCACATCTTATATTTCAGACTTGTTTCTGAATCTGGTTGCAAACCTTCTTTTGTGCTTTTAGAATCCATTTTTTTACCATTGTTCCTAGCTTCTTTTCATAAAAATTTAGATTAGTAGCTTCCTTGATTGTATTGCCTTCTACTAATTCTACACAAATGTTAAGAGTACTTGAACTGGTTTGTGAGGCTGATTCTATTAGTCTAAATGCCCATTTATCTAATTCATCTTTTTCTCTTCTATTGTTGACTACTAGTTGTACCATTTTTTTATCCACTTCCCTCTTACATTCTTGATACAACTTGTCAAATTCTTTAAAGAAAGTTTTAAATTCTTTTTGCCATATCACTAGGATCACAATCTTATGACCAGAGCATTCTAATAAATATTTTATTGTCTTTTGATACTAATTGCATGCTATATATCTTGCTTGCTTGTATAAGTTTGATCTTCTTTTTATTAGTTTGCTTAAGATAGATAGTTTATTATTGGTTAATTTAATTAAGAAGCTTCTTCTCTATAAGCTTTTGAAAGAGATATCCCATATATTTCATTCTTTAACCTATTCCATGTCAGATCCCATGAGTAGGTTTGATGCTTGTGAACTTGGTGATGCCATTTTGTCTCTGTTTTGTGTTATTGTGTCCATAATAGAGCCATTGATCTTTTATTAATTTGTTTAATGAACTATCATATTGAATTATTTACCACTTCTTCTTGCTACATAGTTTCTGTGAGTATTTTGCTTGATTTGAGACTCTTTCATTCTATTTCTGATTGCTTTAACACTCTTTGGTCAATCAGTCTTTTTCTTCATTTTATAAATTATTAACGTAGGCTTTAATCTTGATCAACATTGATTAAATATGCTTTTTCTTTACAAGATGTAGTATTTTTACCCATAATAATCAATTTTTTTCTTTTAACTATCTTTTGTCTATCATCTTCAAATATTCTTTCTCTAACTTTTTCCATTTAGAGATGCAGACTTGACTATCTGTAAAGATCTTGATCATACTGTCTATCAAGGCTACTAAAACTATTGTAACTAGTGCTACCAGTTCTGCCCTTGAGGACAAGAACCAGTTTTTAACTCCTGTCTGAAATTTACTTTTTTTTTTCAGCTCCTTCTGTTTGTATCCATGCTATATCCATTTTTGCATTTTTATTCCCATGATCAATTAAGGATTCATCAGAGTAGAAAGTCACTTCTCCTGTGATCCTTGATTGCACTGAAGAATTTCAAAAAGGTAATCTTGATATACTTCTTGTTTAACATTGTTTCTAAATATTTCTTGTTTCCAATCTCCTATTAATACTTGTTTCATTTTTTCAATTTGATCATTTGTCAGATCTTAAGTTTCTGGAACTATACTCTTGATTATTATTATACTATTTAGTTTCAATAAAGAACATGAAACTTTTAGTAATTGCACTCTTCTAGTATTTTTTTTTATGGTTTAAGAATAGTAAAGTATAGATCAAATTTAATTCTATTTCTATACTATATTTGTTTCATTTTTATTGTTTAGTGAGCATCTTATGTATTTGATAAAAATTGTTCCTAGACTATCTTTTGTTTTCTGATGGTCAAAATAATGAATTATCATAGTATCTTGACTATTTTCTTGAATCAGTTTTTTCTATATTATTTGTTAAGTCTTTTTCTGAACAACTATCCAGGTTTTCTTTCTTTTATCTCTATCAGGTTCAAGTTTAGTACATTTTGGTAGCCACTTTTCTTCCCAGCTCTTTTTCCAAAGTGTTGTAAGATCTTTATACTTTCTTTAGTTATGATTCTTTGTAGTATATTATACCATCCTGGGATAGAGCCTTTGCTAATGTGCTGGATAAGTTGAATTATTCTTTACTTTCTGAATTTTGTGGGGTTTTGATTTATCAGCTGGTCTATATATATTAATTTGTTATTTTGCAAAGATGGTATTGCCTTTCTATATTCTTCTAGTGTTAGATGTTCTTGAATTGGACTATTGCCTTTGATCCATTCGAAAATATCATTCCATTTCCAGATTTAAAAAGTTAGTTCCAAGTCTTTAGTCAACTTTAAAACTTGTAATATGAAATTTTTTTATTATCAAGGTGACCTAGGAATTTATATAAAAGCATATTGTGGGGTTCCTAGTATTTAATCTGTGCTTGTTTCAACCTGATAATTGTAGTAAGCCCTGCTAGACCCTGATCATTTATTCTATTATAGAGTCTGATTATTTGGTTTTCTTTTTGGAGCATTCATATACTTTTAAAATTGTGTATCTTCAGATAGTGGATTACACTGTTAATAATAGATCTACATAAGGCTGCTTTGTTCTTGAAGAACTTGCGATATATTGCTATCAAGTTATTATATATTTTCCAGGACAATATGCTATATTGTATTCTAAACTCTATTCTCAGAATCAATACTCTATTTAGTATATAAAGAACTTTCTTATTGATTAATTTCTTGTTTTTAAGAACTCTCATAACAATATTGATTTTTTTTAAGATTCTTTCTTTGAGTTCGATTGCAGTTTTCTGATTGCCTATTCATATTTTTAGGAATTTTGCTTGCTTTCCTCTATTTAACTCTTTAATCACTTCTTTATTGATTCCTGCATGAACTTATTCTGAGTAGTGATTAAAATTATTGATAGTAACTAATACTGACTTATTGATATTGATCTGAGAGTCATTTGCTTTATAAAAGATTCTTACTATTTCTAGGATCTTTTTTATATCTTTTTTGAACCTTGCTATTCATATGGTATCATTCATGAAAACTATGGCTGCATGTCTCGATTCTAGCTTTTTAGTGATAGTATTATTTAGATTAGGATTCCATAAGACTTTTATTTTATATCCCTGTTCTATGTCTTCTTGGATTTTGCATAACAAAGGGTTATAGAAAATCCTCTATATCAGTGATGTGATAATTTCTCCTTGATCTATTCTATTTTCTACTCTTATTGGTTCTGTAAGGTCATTCTCAAATATTATTTTGAACTTCCTATTTTGGAACAGGCTCATTATGATCTTGATAAAACCTTTGGATGTCTTGATCCTTTCCATTGCTTTGGTTAGCATTTCTAGACTAATAGTATTATATACCTTGGTTATGTCTTAAAAGAGTATCCACAACTCTTTTTTATTTTCTCTTGTATTTTTGCAGATGTTATTGAAAATTTGAATAAGTTCTGTTATGCTTTCTCCTGACAATCCTATATAGTTGGGACCCCTAAGGATATTGTTGATCTTGCAAGTGTTTCTTATTCTAGTGGTTAGAATTTTGGTAAAGCACTCTCTAATGACTTCTAGTAGTATAATTGATTTTATATTTTTCAATTCACACTTCTATGATTTTGATTTAGCTATTGGTATATATGGCTTTATTTCCAATATATAGATATAACTTTTCATATTAAGAAAGTATTTAGCATCTTTCGCAATTATTCTTTTTCTTCTTGGCTCAGTTTTTTTAGTATTTCATAGTTAATCAGGGATTTTCTAGAAACTTTGTTATTTGGAAGTGCATGGAGAGTTTCTTCCAATTCTTCATATGTGATTGTTTCTAAAAGATTGTCATACTATACTTTTTGGATATACTGCTTGGAATCATATTTTTTTTCCATTCTTCAATAAGATTGGCAAAGTTGATATTTCACTTTTTGAAGACTTCTTGATGATATCTTCTTATTTTTTTTCCAATTTCTTTTTTGTTTATCATTATATATTCCATACCATCTTGCTTGACTTTAATCTGATCAAGTATTATTTTGCTTCTTTCTTTTTTGTTAGTGAATTTACCATTTTCTTTTGATTGTATTTAAGATTATCATATCTTAGTTCTAAAACTGATTTGATCTTCTCTTTTACTTTTTTGACTTCTAAGTTTTAACTTATAAATTTGAGCCTTTCTATTGCATCTTGGATATTTTTTTTTCAAGGATATCCAGGGAATATTGAAGATGTTAAATTGGATACAATAGTTTTCTATCTAATGATATGGATTATTGGTGACATTATGTTTTTCGATAACTACACTGAACTTCTGCACCTTTTTTATTTTTTTGATACTTCCACTTTCTTAAAGACTGTTTTTAATTGAAGAGCTCTTCTATTGCATATATTCTAGACTGTATTTATATTATTTCTCCTTAATTGATACCAGTTTTTTTATTTCTAATT